GTCATGAGATCAACACGAGTTACCTTTGGCCTCTGCACTTACAAGAGGTGCTCAGAATGCTGGCCATCAGCTTCCAGGCATTTATTAGTGTGGCGAACTGCTGCTTGGGTAACCTTGGTCATTGAGATTGCTGCACATGCGTTTTCAATTTCTTCTCCAAGGCCGGGCAGTGTAGCAGGTTTTCTGTGAAATATGACATCTCTAAGGTCCTCCCTACAGAGTAACACCATCTGTTGAAAAAAATCTCATACTATTTTTCTTTTCCTGAAGTATGGATACCTTTTTTGGCAGACTCTGTATATTTTGATCATATTTATCCCCCGTTACCTGCCCTTACACTGTCCTTCCCCTCCCTTTTATTCCCTTTCTCTTGTCTAATAATAGTCTTCCTTCTATATTCTTGTCATCATTTTTAGATTCCACATATTAGGGAAGGCATGAGATATTTGTCTTTCCAGCTCTGGCCTATTTTGTTCAACATCATGATCTCCAGATACTTCCTTTGTCCTATAAATGACAGAATTTCATTCTTCTTCATGGCTGAATAATAGTCCACTATGTATACCTACCACATATTCTGTATCCATTTATCTGGTGATAGGTACCTGGGCTGGTTCCACACCGTGGCAACTGTAAATTGAGCCACAATAAATATAGGTATACAGGTAGCTCCATAACATATTGACTTTAACTGCTTTGGGTATGTTTTGGTTTGGGGGTTATTCGCAAGGGGAAACAATATAATACAGGGGCTGGGGATTTAGCTCAGTGGCAAAGCACCTGCCTGGCAAGCGCAAGGTCATGAGTTTGGTTCCCAGTACCAGAGAAAAACCAAAAAGGAAAAAAAAACACAATATAATACAGAACACATATTTTATAAGATTATTTATAATAGTCACCCAAAGAATGATTTACAAGAGAGTGCAGGAAATCTGTCCACACACTAAGACCAAGGAATCTAGATCAGGGCCTGGATCCTATGGTAATGTCCTGCATGAGTACAGCTGAAGACCTAGAGCTCATAACAGTATCTCATGCAGGCCTGTTTCACAGATCTGTGCTGGGAAGGCCCAAAGGTCAGTGGTGGAATCTAGAAAGTCTGTGCCAGCAGGATGAAGGATCTGTGCTAGCAGCTGAGGGATCTGCACTGGAGTGAGGAAGCGATGCTCAGAAGAACCAGAGCTCCCCCAAAAGGTACCACAGTCATCCTCGGCAACAGCGAGGTCCTGAGCTCCTCCGATGATCAAGATGGCTGAGTTCCCATCAGGAAAGCCAACACAGAAAGCTTCTCCAGGGGGCCGGCAGTGCACCATCTTGCCCTCCAGAGACAGGAAGCGATGCTCAAGTGAGGACCAATTTTGAATGTAAAGAACTCTCTCCAGTTGGGTGTGATGGTGCATGCCTGTAATCCAGCACTCGGGAGGCTGAGGCAGGAGGATCATTGCAAGTTTGAGATGAGTCTGAGCTACACAGTGAGCTCAAGGCCAGCCTGAACTGCATAGTAAGACCCTGTCTCAAAAAGACAAAAACAGGGACTGGGGATTTAGCTCAGTGGCACAGTGCCTGCCTGGCAAGCGCAAGGTTGTGAGTTCAATTCCCAGAACAGGAAAAAACAAACAAACAAACAAAAAGACAAAAACAAACCAAAACAAAAAAAAAAAACCAAAACAACACTCTCCAAATATAAACTTTTACTTTATCTGCTTATACCATATAAAAATAAAGTGTAAAGAGTTCAATTATTTTATTTTTTCATTTTTGGAATTTCCCTTTGGCTCTTTGTTAGTAAATTATAGCAAATAGTAATTAACAGATTTCAATTACTTGATTTCTCTCCTCTTTTGGCTTGTTGTCAAAATCTCTCAGTAAGCTGCGGATGCAGCGTGGTAGTGAATGCAGTCAGCATGAGCAAACCCTGCCCTGCATCTCTGGTACCAAAAACAAAACAAAGAGAAACGTTTCTGGTCATCTTTTATAATCTCTTATACCCTGCAGGCAATTTCCAGCTGGATTCTTATTTCTTCGAATAAGGTGAAACATAGCTGTTATCCATTTTGGACCCGATGTCTGAATATCTTGCAAGTTTGCTTCTGCTCCTCAGTGTTTTTGCTGGATCTTGCTCATAAAGTCTGTTTTCCTTTTGCAGTTCAGTAATTGCTACTTATTTTCCCTGGAAAATTATGTTAGAAATTTCTTGAGGCTGAAGATGAAGGTGTTTTCCTGCAGAAAATGTGGTTTTTATTTCTGCCAAGCACTTAGAGGTACTAATTTCCTAAACCCTTTGAAATTAAACGTCTGACCTGGATAGTACCAGATCACCCCAGATGATGTAAACTTAGGGTGCACATCACCTCCAGGACCGGCCAGTGATTACAGCCTAGAGACAGAACCTTCCGATTGATTCAGTACTGAGGCAGCTTCCTTAAAGTCCCCTGGAGGTGATGGTAGGGTATGTTTCAGGTTCAGTCCTACATTAGGGGTGTGCCCTTTGCAGTGAGTTTTTTGAGAAATCTCCTACAGGATTCTTTTATTGATTGATTGATTGATTGATTGATTGTCTTTTTGAGACAGGGCCTCGCTATGCAGTTCAGGCTGCGTTGAGCTCACTTTGTAACCCAGGCTGGTCTCAAATTCACAGTGATCCTCCTGCCTCAGCCTCCTGAGTGCTGGGATTATAGGCATGCGCCACCATGCCTGGCGATCTTCTTTTAAATTTTTTTTTTATTATTATTTTTTTGTCCTGCAGGATTCTTTACCTTGGTTCCATCAAAGACAAAGGCTGCAAAAAATTGAAGCTGGAGTGTCCCTGACTCAATAAATGTCCTCAAACTAAACTCGACTCCTTGTTTTTTCCCATCTGAATTCCTGCCTTTCCTAATATTTTCTTGCTACACAGCCAGGTCTTCTATGCTATTAAAATAGTTTGTATTTATATTTTAACCACAATTTTAATTTATTTTATTCAGGAAGATCAGTCTAGAATCCAACCTATCGGGGCTGGGGATATAGCTCAGTGGCACAAGTGCCTGCCTGGCAAGCGCAAGGTCCTGAGTTCAATTCCTGGTACAAAAAAAAAAAATTAGGAACCACTTAAATGTCCATCAATAGGAGAAGGGCAGCTGAGTGTGGTGGCACCTGCCTATCATCTCAGCTACTCTGGTGGCTGAGGCAGGAGAACCACAAACTCAAGCCCAGCCTGGGCAACTCAGTGAGATCCTGTCTCAACGGTGGGACGGCTGGGGATGAGGCTCTGTGGCACAGTGCTTGCCTAGCGTGCATGGTTCGTCTACCAGTACCCCACATACGAAAAGGATAAGACAGCTCCATTTGGACCACCTTGAAGACATCTCTGCACCACAGTGTCAACTGATTGGAAAAACATAAACGTAATGACTCGAGCAGACATACACCACATACATACACACACGTGGGAAATCACATACTTTTTTTGTAAATACATAGGAAGGGAAGAACAGTAGTTCTCAACATCAGCTGCACAATAGAATTACTTAAGGTCTTCAGGACTTTTTTTTTTGTACCAGGAGTTGAAGTCAGGACCTTGTGCTTGCCAGGCAGGCGCCTGGGCCACTGAGCTATATCCCTGGCCTTAAGGACTTTTTAGAAATAGTGACACCTGGTATCCACCCCAAACAGTAGGAATACTGGTCTGGGGGCGCGATGTTTGAGAGGCTGAGTGCCCCACCTGCAACCCCAGGCCCCTCATACACTGCAAGGTACCAACACTGAAATTAAACCCGAATATTGAGGTTTTAGTGTACAAAAAACAACTCATGCACTCAGCATGCGTGCCGACAGAGAAGGCTCCGCGGGCCCAGTGCAGCTCGCAGGCCACAGGTTCGCCAGCACTGGTCCAGGACAAACCCAGGCAACAGGAGTTTTAAAACTTTTCCATGTGATTCTGACGGATGTGGAGGTCCAGAAGCCCCGAGCGATGCTTATCAGAACGTGGTCAACTGAGAAGGTGGCAGCCAGGAGAGAGGGTGCGAGGGGATCTTCCCAGTTTGCTTTTTAAACTTTTACAATAGGGGCTGGGGATTTAGCTCAGCGGCAAAACGCCTGCCTGGCAAGTGCAAGGTCGTGAGTTCGGTTCCCGGCACCAGAGAAAAACCAAAATAAATAAATAAATAAAATAAACTTTTACACTGCTGGGACAAAAAGGAACGTACACTCTCTGAACCTTCCAACAAGATAATTACTCTGGGAACCAATGATGGGGGAAAAAAAGAGAGCTCATCACTTTCGGGCTGTCTCTAACGGATTCATTTGTGTGTGTGTCTGTGTGTGTGTGTGTAGGGATAGAGCCGAGGACCTCACACACGTGCTCTACCACTGAGCTACAGCCCAGTCCGTTCAATAACTACTAATTGAAAACCACGACCCTGTATCCGGCATGTATGTTGGCTCCAGCACTTCTCACACCAGTGTCCTTCGCTGTTTTCCGCACCTTGGTCATCTCTGTGTCTCCTATATCCAGCACGGTGTTGTCCACTTTGTACGTCCGAGGTCCTTGCTAGTCTGTCCTCAGCCTAAGGAGCCCCCAGCACCATGCAGGAATGACTGCTGAGGGACAAGGAAACTTTTAACTTGTGCTGCAAGGCCTCAGTGACACCTAGCTAAGTGAAAGGGGATTTTACACTTCGCCGTTCAAATTCTCATTCCCGCAAGCCTTACTTCTGCCGCAGCACGGATAATCCTTAGCCTCCGCGAGGATCCTATTTCTGCAAGGCCAGGCATAGCCAGTAGGTGGCAACCGCGGGCAGGAATTGGAGCGCGTCCTGCCCAACAGTCCAGGCCGATGCTGAGGTGGGGGCAGAGGCAAGGGTTTGCCAGGACAGGCCAGGGCAGGTGCATAAGAGAGTGGTAGGGCTCTCTTTTTGGCCTAAACTGAAAATGGCAAGGTAGCTGGGTACCCAGAAGCTCTGCGAGGTTTCTTTAACTTTCCATCCATTCCACAACGGTGCCCTGTGCCGGGAGTCCTGTCCGGACTTCCTCACCCAGGACACGCTTGGAGCCCTCCCCAGCGCCCCAGGCCGGGTCTCGGTCCTCCCTGTCTGTGCTGATAGAGACGATGGTGGCAGCAGGAGTGTGGAGGTGGCTGGTGAATGTGTAGAATCATGGATAACATGCTGGCTGCTACAGGAACATTTCACTCAGGGCCTTCGGGGCCCATTCGTGGCGGAGGCACCAAGGAGCGCTGAGGGTTATGATCCTCCGGGCCGCTTCGCTGCTGGGAGCGCACCTTTGCTCCACGCACTTTCCCCTCACCTCCACGCTCTGCACTGTCTTCTGGGGTCCTCTTGTTATCCCTTCCCTCCAACTTCTGACCTTTCTCATTTCACTAACAGCTCTGTCTGTCTGTCTCTCTCACAAGCCCTCATAACAGGCGCTCTCTGGATTGAGGCTTCTTCCCCCATCCTCTCCGGTCTCTCGTCCTTTGGCTGGAGTTTTGGCCTCGTCTCCTCTGGACCTCAGAATTCAGTGAGGTGAGAGGAGAGCACAGTGGCGAATCTATAGAGAAGGGGCGCAGGAAACTTTAAATCCTGCTTTGTTAGCTATCCTGGGGATTGAATCCAGGGTCTTTGCACTGAGCCATATCCCCAGACGTCTTCATTTTGAGCCAGGGCCTTGCTAAGTTGCCCAGGCTGGGACTGAACTTGTGATCTTTTGCCTCAGCCTCCCTCAGTGCTGGGGTTACAGGCTGAGTCTGGTTTGCAACACTTTCCAGGCACCCCTAGGTAACCAAACACACTGCTACCTCCTCCTCTTCCGTCCTTTTGCCATCTTTTCCCTGCAGAAGTCCCTCTGTGTCCAGCCCACGGCTTGGCGGGGCCAGCAGTCAGGGAGGAAGTGGCCCCACCCAGCCTAAAGACAAGGCACAGGGTGGGACCAGTGGGTTGGGGCAGAGAATGGAGGAGGTGGCTTCTGACCCCGGCTCCGGCCTCTTCTGGGGGTTCTGCGTGACCTGCCATAGGTCGTGCCCCCTGCTCCCCAACCTCGATCTACATCACAAAGCCGGCAGCTCATAACTCAGCCAGCCAGGGAAGTCTGGGATTGATTTAGGGCCTGCTCTGACCAGCTCACCCCCCCACCGGACGATGGCCCTGGGGTAGGGTGGGGACAAGGGTCATGAGTGAAGTTCAGACAGGAGAGCCCTGAGCACCGTGACATACCTGGAGCAGATCTTTCTGCGTGTCTAGTGGAGTGGGGCGCTGGGGTCCGGCCACAGACGGCTCACACCGAATGGCCCATTTTCTGCAGCTCAGCTCAGGGGCCCTGTGGAGCGAGCAGCACTCACAGCCTAGTGGATGCTCAGGGACAGCATCCTGAAGCTCCAGGCTCAGAGAATCTTACAGAGCAAAGAGCGCTTCATTGTGCACGGAGACGGCAGTCAGTTAAACACTAAGGAAGCCCTCCGTCTCTTGCCACCAACCCTCCTTGCAACCATGGAGCTGCTCACAGCCAGGTCTCTCCAGCCTGGGGTTCCACAGGCCACCCCCTTTCCTTCTGACCTGGTATGAAGGGGCTGGGGATTTAGCTCAGCGGCACGACGCCTGCCTGGCAAGCACAAGGTCGTGAGTTCAATTCCCGGTCCCGGAAACAAACAAACAAAAAAAAAAACCTCTTGGATGACCTGGTATGTTTACCATCTTCTTCTGTAGATATCATTGAAAGATTTCCTTAACTCTGAGTGTTTCAAGTTTGCTGACTATAATTAAGAGTAAATATGCCTGCTTTGGAACCCAGGACACTTGGATAGACACATAATCAAAAGCAAAGTTCTATGAAACTTCGTGATGTTTTCCGCTCTATTTTATTTTGTTGTAAGAAAGAAGTTTTAGGGGCTGGGGATATAGCTCAGTGGCATAAGCACCTGCCTGGCAGATACAAGGTCATGAGTTCGATCTCTGGTACCCAAAAAAAAAAAAAAGGAAGAAGTTTTAGTGGCCAGGCATGGTGGCACATGCCTATAACCAAAGCCCTCAGGAAGCTGAAGCAGGAGGATCATTGTGAGTTCAAGGCCAGCCTGAACTGCATAGTGAGACCCTGTCTCAAAAGAAAAAAGTTTTAGAAGTAATTTTAAGAACAACTAATGGGCTGCCACTTACAGTTCTGCAACTTCTTACATTTTTTTTTTTTTACTCCTTCACAAGTTTTAAAGCCGATTTACAAACATAACTTCACAATTATCTTCATAAAAGCCAGAGAGGAGAGTAAGACAGTTTTTCATGGACCTATTTGATAGGTGAGGAAACAAAGCTCAGAGGTTGATGGATGTACCTAGATCACCTGGCTGGTGCCCACTGGAGACGAGATTCCCAGTTAGATCTTCTGTGTGCCTGGTCCTGGCCCCCTATGTCCCGTCTCTAGCACCTCCTTCCCTCTCCTGCGAAGCCCTCAAACTTGAGTTCACTGTCGTTCCCAGTTTGTAGGCCACCCCCTTGTGTGGGGAAGACAGAGGGACAAGCAGCTGAATAATTCTGCTTTCCGTGTCATCTGTTAACACGGCACCATCTGTCAATTCTACCCAAGAGGCCAGAGTGGGGGAGGAGGCCACTCTCCTGGAGTCTGGCCCTCAGGACCCTCCCATAGAAGGCAGCAGGCACCCACAGACAGCTCATTTTCCTGCTGAGAACGGACAGCAGTGAACTAGAACTACAGGAGACCACCCACCCGGGAGCCAGCCAGGAGGAAGGACTTGCTGAGGTTCAGGGCTTGCTGGAAGGGGAGCCACCCCTCTCACACTCACCCCCACCCCGCCCCTCTACCTCCGGGGCTGTGAACAGGGTGAGGGGGTTCCTGCAGCAGGAGCCCT